AGCCAAATGCTATTGGTGGGCAGGGCACGCACCGAAGTAGGCGGAGTTCGAGCGAGATTTATTGTCCAGAAGCAGTCCGGAGATCGGGAAAAAGAGGATAATGGTTGACGAAGAAAAAGAGGTTGAAAGCCGTCGATGATGGAGCGGATAGAATTTAGCTGAGAAGTCAGATATTCGTGTGTATCAGGCCAAATTTGAAAATTTTCGCCGCACCATCAAAATTCGCCGCAGATAAGTGTTGTGCGCGCAATGCGTGCGGCGCCAACTGGTAATCCATACTTCAGTGACTTATTTATTATCATTTTACGAGAGTGTTATAAATGTTATAAATCACTGTCAATCAATCAATACCCTCGCGCGCTCTCTCTTCCGCCATCGACGCCTCGTATGACATCTTCTGCCTGATCTGCTCCTTCTCAGCGTATTCGCAACGATAAGTGTGAGGGACACATCAGCTAAGCGGGGCTCCGCCCACAGTGGGCGTGGCGTGCATCAAAATGAATTTTCTACCCCCGCCCCGCCCACCGGGGGTGGGTCTCCCTAATTCGATGTGACTTACCAATGCACACCTTTACCCTTTTTGGCCCAGTTTCGAGGTCGTTTTGTCAGAGAATTGAAAATCTTGGTCGTCAGTACACTTCATTTCGACGCACGCCACGCCCACTGTGGGCGGGGCTCCGCTTAGCTGATGTGTGTTTTGTACTTCGTGAGACCTTGCCCACCCATCCCACACTTGACCCGGTCCCTCCAGGCGGATCCCGAGGAGCTAGGGAATTTCGTGACAGACATACAGACAGAACGACAGACGACAGACGACAGACGAAGCGCTTTATAGTAAGTAGGATGGGGAAGGCATCAACTCTTGGCGATGGGTACAACTGCATGCAAAGACTTATTATACTTAAAAGGCAAATCGAAATTAATATATGCCAGAGCATTCAGTGTCGCGGTTCACTACAGATGTCGACTAAGCGGTTCATCGCGTTATCTGAGTGCTGGTAAGCCATGGAAGATGCCATCGAAAAGTCGAAGCGAAGCGGAGCTTCGGCGGCCTAATCGGTAGGCAAGTTCACGGAGGGAAGTTCGCGTGGGGGGAGGGCGGGGGTGGAAAGCTTTACGTACAGCATTTTTGTGATCTCCTTCACATGGGTTCTGTGGCCAGAAAGTGCAGTCGGAAAGAAGCCAGAAGTGCTATAACAAGTTCCTCAAATCTTCAAGTGCAGAAAGACAAGATGGAAATTCCAAACTGCAATGTACCTCGTTCCGTTGCGGATGCCGCACGGTGACGCTGAAGCCAACATTTGTTGATGAAGTTTGCAGAGTTTCCTGTTGTTCTGAAGAACCCATCGTTTTCTCAACTTCGGTAAGTTGCAATGGGAAAGTCGCCACCTGTTGCGGTGGCACAAAGCGCACCTCAATAAGAATGACAAAGTGGCTCGTGTCCAGTAGAAAATCCTCGTCCATTGTTAGCTTCCTTTCTGCGCTACGCCGAGCACTAACCTGCTACGAAGGAATCTATGAATGAAATAGGAAACCAAGCCACGGTTCGCGATCGAATTGGTGTTATATTCCGCTCGCAAATGAGACAAGTGGTGCGAAAAGGAGTAGTATGAAAAAAGAAAGGGAACCACAAAAAGCGAGGAAACTGAAGGCCTCCCTTTTTTGTGAGTTCGATTACGGTGCGATGTATAGACACAGCGCTGTGACCAGAAGGCTTACGCGAGCCTCACGTCATCTGCGTGTTTTCTGAGTTCTACAAACTCAGCTCATTTTATGGAATTCTA